GTACCTACAAAATATACTTAAACCAGTTCAGCTCCCACACCTGTATAGGCCATCTGGACCAGAGCAATTTTTTACATTTCAGCTATTAATACTGAAATAACTTTATCATTACTTAAAATAATAAAGTAATACATACTGTATAGTGTTTTTTTTCCCAAAGCTTTCTCTTGAAATACTGTCATGAAAAAAAAAAATTTATTTTCTATGCAACCTATATATAAAGATATAAAATGGAAAAAATGTTTTTTTTTTCTAGTTTGACCAGTCTTTGGCAAGTATTCCTTTTGATGAAAAATGTACATTTTATTTTATCATTTCTCCAGTGTATAAGGACAAAAAAATGGGTTTTTATTACAAAGTATACCAAGTTATTATTTTTTTTTAAATTGTGCTTTTTTATATAAAGGTGATATTAAACCCAAAAACAAAATATATTGCATCTTTAGGATTAACTTTTTTTCATTGATTTTCATATATTGATCTGACAAGTAAGTCTGTTATTTTTCACCTTTCTTTAACAGACCAGGCTGTTCAGCAAAAGTGGCAGTTCATGGGTTGAGACCAGCCATTTACTGTAGACAGGGTGCTTACAATGGTCAGCTCTTATTCATTTATGTAAAACCTTTATCCCAAAAGGAAAGGGGGGAAGTCTTCCATTCACATTGCTTGAGATGAAGGACGAAAAATTAACCAGTGTTTGGCCAGCTTTAGACAAGAAGTGTACCACCACATTTAGCCCTCGTTCACACCGATGCGACTTCAGGTGCAGCATGCGATTTACAAACCACACCTGAAGTTGCATATAATGTATTTCTATGGCACTGTCTTAATCAGTGCGATTTGAAGTAGCAGGATTTAAAAAATAGTTTCTGCACTACTTTTTCCGATTTCATTGTGACTTGCATTGACTTCTGTTAAATGAAGTTGCAGTGAAATCAGAGATATAAATCGCACTGATCTGCAGCTTTTAAATCGCGCGAGGTAGCGTGATTTCAAAGTAGCATTCATTTGGAACCAGGGCTTAAGGATCAGCAAACTGCAATATATTACATTTTTGTTTTTGGGTTAAATACCACTTTACCACTGCAGATGCTGCTCTGTGTCAGTTTACACAGGAGCAGAAAGATCTGCTCCTGAGTTAAAAAAAAAAAAACCCCTGGCTGTCAAAATGACAGCCAGATATTGGTAGTAAATGCAATTAGAGAACTGCACAGAAGGAGGAGGGGCTTGGCGTACTACACATGCCCAAGGTATTTACATTACGTTTTTTTATTCCTCAGTGTATATAACAGGTTAATTATTGTGCCACAAGCAAAAGGCTCACAGACACATATAAACCTCAGCACAATATTTTGTGAAATGTAAGTCCAGTCCAAATTTGTTTTCTTATTTTTAGATAGAGTGGGTAAGGTTTGGAACCCCTGCCAGGTTTTACTACTATCTGGGGCTCTGTTAGAGAGATTTACCATCACACTCAGTCATGCTGACAGCATTTTCCAAAACAGAAATTGAGGGGAACTCCCCAACAGCAAAACAGACAGAAATAACATTTTTAGTAGGGTAGGTAAGGCTAGAACCCCTTTCAGGTTTGTATTTCTGTCTGTCCCTGTGTGTGTCCCTGTTGCTGATTTTCCCTTACTCCCTGTCTAGCAAAACCTCTGTCAGAACAGAAAGCAGTGGTAGATATCTCTAACTGAATAGTAAAAACCCAACAGGAGTTCGGATCCTTCTCTACTGTATCAATATATACAGTGTCATTTGTAAAGAAAACATGAGTGAGTGGGCAAAACACATTTCTTTTATTTCTTATGAGATTCATATTCAACTGTGGGTCATAACAGAATGGCAAAATCTGGCAACTAGTAAACAAATGAAATGACCCCTGTTCAAAAGTCTGCATTCACTTTTTTGTTAATGCTGTGCATTGCCCCCTTTAGCATCAATGACAAATTAAATTTTCCACATTTTGTCATGTTACAACCAAAACGTAAATGTATTTTATTGGGATTTTATGTGATAGACCAACACCAAGTGGCACATATTTGTGAAGTGGAAGGAAAATGATAAATGGTTTTCCAAATTTTTTTCCAAATATCTGAAAAGTGTGGCGTGCATTTGTATTTATTCACCTTTCACTGCAATTACAGCTGCAAGTCTTTTTTGGGTATGTCTCTACCAGCTTTGCACGTCTAGAGAGTGAAATTTTTGCCCATTCTGCTTTGCAAAATAGCTCAAGTGGATAAAGAGCAATTTTCAAGTCTTGCCACAGATTTTCAATTGGATTTAGGTCTGGACTTTGACTGGGCCATTCTAACACATGAATATGCTTTGATCTAAACCATTCCATTGTAGCTCTGGCTCTATGTTTAGGGTCATTATCCTGCTGGAAGGTGAACCTCCGCCCCAATCTCAAGTCTTTTGCAGACTCTAACAGGTTTTCTTCTAAGATTGCCCTGTATTTGGCTCCATCCATCTTCCCATCAACTCTGACCAGCATCCTTGTCCCTGCTGAAGAAAAGCATCCCCACAACATGATGCTGCCACCACTATGTTTCACGATGGGGATGGGGTGTGTTCAGGGTGATGTGCAGTGTTAGTTTTCTGCCACACATAACGTTTTTCTTTGAGGCCAAAAAGTTCAATTTTGGTCTCATCTGACCAGAGCACCTTCTTCCACATAGCTTCTTGCAAACTGAAAACAGGGCTTCTTATGGCTTTCTTTCAACAATGGATTCCTTCTTGCCACTCTTCCATAAAGGCCAGATTTGTGGAGTGCATGACTAACAGTTGTCCTGTGGACAGGTTCCCCCACCTGATCTGTGGATCTCTGCAGCTCCTCCAGATTTACCATGGACCTCTTGGCTGCTTCTCTGATTAATGCTCTCCTTGCCCTGCCTGTCAGTTTAGGTGGACATCCATGTCTTGGTAGGTTTGCAGTTGTGCCATACTGTTTCCATTTTCAAGTGATGGATTGAACAGTGCTCCGTGAGATGTTCAAAGCTTGGGATAACTTTTATAACCTAACCCTGCTTTAAACTTCCCCGCAACTTTATCTATGACCTGTCTGGTGTGTTCCTTGGCCTTCATGATGCTGTTTGTTCACTAATGTTCTCTAACAAACCTTTGAGGGCTTCACAGAACAGCTGTATTTATATTGAGAATAAATTACACACAGGTAGACTCTATTTACTAATTAGATGACTTCTGAAGGCAATTGGTTCCACTAGATTTTAGTTCGGGATATCAGAGTAAAGGGGGGCTGAATACAAATGCACGCCACATTTTTCAGATAATTATTTGTAAAAAATTTTGAAAACCACTTATCATTTTCCTTCACTTTACAATTATGTGCCACTTTGAGTTGGTCTATCACATAAAATCCCAATAAAATACATTTATGTTTTTGGTTGTAACATGACAAAATGTGGAAAATTTTAAGGGGTATGAATACTTTTTCAAGGCACTGTATTAATGTCAGGAGACTATAATGGCACTCTAGAACCTTCACCTTTTTCTGCTGTAACCATTGGAGGATCAACTTGGCCTTGTGTTTGGGGTCATTGTCGTACTGGAATGTTCAAGAGCATCAAATGTGCATCTTTTGTGCATAAGAATGCAAATTGTCTGCCGATATTTTCTGATAACATGCTGCATTCATCCTGCCATCAGTTTTCAGAACATTCCCTTTGCCTTTAGAGTTCACAAACCCCCAAAACATCAGTGAGCCACCACCATGCTTTACCGTGGGAATGGTATTCTTGTCGTCCCAAAACTTATAAATGTGACCATAAAGCTCTATTTTGGATATGTCACTGCTGATTACAGTGTGTGCCAGAAGCTGTGAGGCATGTCAAGGTGTTTTGGGCATATTGCAACCAGGCTTTTTCATGGTATTGGGGTAGTAAAGGCTTCTTTCTAGCAACTCAACCATACAGCTAATTGTTTTTTTCCAAGTATCATTGTATTGTGGTCCTTGAAACAACCACACTGTCTTTTTCCAGAGCAGCCTGTATTTCTCCTGAGGTTACCTGTGGGTTTTTCTTTGTATTCCAAACAATTCTTCTGGCAGGTGTGGCTGCAATGTTTCTTGGCTTGGTATCATTAGATCATCAAAATTTCCACTTCTTTGTAAGTGATTGAACAGTACTGACTGGCATATTCATAATCTAGTGCTCAGAGGGTCATGTTTTGATTGGTGAAGGAGAGTCCTCCAAGCCAAAGGGTATGTAAATGTTTGATCAGGGCCATTTGGGTGATTTCTGTTATTATGATTTAAAAAAGAGCCAAACAACTATGTGATAATACATGGCTTCATATGATCATTATCTTTAACCACTTCAAGTCCGGACACTTTTACCCCCTTCCTGTCCAGGCCAATTTTCAGTTTTGTCACACTGTGAATGAGAATTGTGTGGTCATGCAACACTGTACCCATATGAATTTTTTTGCATTTTTTTTGAGACCAATAAAACTTTATTTTGGTGATATTTATTCACCACTGGGATTTTAATTTTTTTGGTATATAAATGAAAAAGTCCATAAATTTTGAAAAAAAATTTTTTTCTTATAAAAGTTTGCAAATAAATAACTTTTCTTCAAAAATCTTGGCCAAAATGTATTCAGCTTTTTAGTAAAAAAAACCCCAAAAAACCCCAAATTAGTTTATAGCCAAAAGTTACAATTTTTCAAATTTGTTTTTACATTTTTATTTAATTATTTTATATTATTATTTATGTGTTGTTTTTTTTTTTTTTTTTTTACATACTGTCACCCTAGCAGTACAGTGTCACCATAGCGACACTTTACTACTTGTAGGGGGTGATGAAGATTTTTTTTTGTTTTTTTACACTGATTCCTTTTACACCCATTAAGGCTGTAAAAGCAATCATTTCTCCTTCTCTCTGGCTACATTCTTGCAGCCATTGGGAAATACTGTGATAGCTGTGATTTGGTCACAGCTTGTCACATGGGTACAAAGCTATTGTGAATAGCCTTGTAAGATGTGACCTCTGTGATCATTCACAGATTTTACACGTAGTAAGCAATGATGTCAGAAGTGAGATCTTGCTTACTACTATTCATGTGATCACTGATTTGCAAATCAGTGATCCCGTATAGTGATCGGTGTTCAGGCACAGCGGTCACCGGATCGCGGTTTCACGCGCTCCCAGGGAGCGCGCACAGGCTGAAAATGTGGACGCCATTTATGAACAGCAACCCGCTTCCGCACTGTTCCCATTTAGCCGTTTATATACATGGACCAGGCGGGAAGTGGTTTGAGAAGACCGTTTTTTGTGGCATGATCAGTCAGATTTTCAATGTCAAACTTTCATGATTTCTATTGGGGTATGCAAACTTTTGAGCACATCTGTATATAACATAAAACCATTTAGCAAACTATAGCAGGTCAGGAGTATGCTAGCGGCCTTGTGAGTGAGCTGATCCTGATGTCCTCACGCCCTAAGACCGGCTCCGGGCATGAGGACGGCAGGAACAGTCCAACACTGGATGTGGGGGAGCATGGTTTTCTGGAGGATTGGAGGACAGGGTAAGTATAGCTTTTCCTTAAACCCCTGGACAAAACGAGCACTTAACCCAAGCAGGGACAGTTTAGAAATCGAGGAATTAGGTCCCGTGCAGGGGACATGATCAGAAAAGAAAACATGGTAGCAAACAAATCACATTTTCAGGCGAGATCCAATACTGAGAAGAGTAATAGCATGCAGCAGAAGGCTCCAGAAGTGACAACATACATGTGGGTGCAAAGGCCAGGGCTTGACAAGGTGAGGGGAGTGTGTATTCCTTACCCTTGGTAGAGGGGAGGGCGAAATAATAGGGGGGGGAGAGAAGAAGAAGAGAAATAGAGAGGGGACAGAGAGGAGACAAGGAGGAAGAGAGAAGGGAGTAAAGTTAGGTAGGGGCGAGAGGAGGTGAAAATTCTCTCCTTTCAAGCAAAAATCTGTTCCCATAGTAAAAATTCCATCCTAGCAAAAATCTCCTCCCTCTTAAAGGGAAAAATCTTTCACATTAAAATCCCCCCCACCCCACTTAAGATAAAAATAAGTCACTCAAGCAAACTGAACCAGAAAACACAAACAGCCTGGAGCAGGCAAATTCACTGCATTTGCAACCTGTGTTTGGGGTGCCGCTAAGTTATCACTGACACCCATTGCAGAAGTGCCGTGCACTTTGAACACAGTGTGGGAAAGGCGCATGGAAGGTGGGTTTCCCTCACCACATTCTGGTGTGAATCAGTCCTTATTGGCAGATAATGATTATTGATTATTAGAAGTAGTAATATTTGTAAGGTGGTTTAACCTACAATTAGAGTGGTATTAACCCTTACTTTTTAAGCAATTTTCACCTCTTTATCTTGTAATACTTGCCTGTATTCCATTCTAAGCTTGTTACATGACTGCTACCCCAGGTTTCCTTTTTCAGGGTGGCTCCTTTCTCTTGCAATTTCATATGGTGCCACCTTTGCATTCAGAGACTAGAGCTCTGTCTTGCTACACTGTGTGCATGAAAAGAAACACACAGATAAGTGTGTATGACAAGTCACTCCCCTGTTCCTCCCTTCTCCAGGCTAACAGACTGGCTGGAGACTGCACTGTCCACTGTTAATTCTTTCCTTTGACGACTGGAAATTCAGGGAAGCAGCTCTGAGAGCCAGCAGCATAGAAAGTGGTAACCTGTAAGCGCTAGAATAAAAATTTTAACAAACAGTTTGTTAGTTTGAGAACAGTTTAAGAATACATATTTTATTGTGCTCAATCTGTTAAGCTAAAAAATGCTGAGGATTTATTACGACTTTAAGCATTTAGTTATTGAACATTATTTTCTGTATTGTGCAAGCATTTACCTCACCATCTGTACAATGCTGATAAGACTAGTCAAGCATTAGAATGGATATCAATCCAGCTACCCTACATTAACCCTTTTGTTGCCACAGTCATTTTTTTTTCATTTTATATTTAAATGCCCATTTTGGTCTGAAGATTGCTTAAAGTCCCCAAAATAATACGTATTTTTTAAAAGCAGAGTGTCTGTAGAATAAAATAATGGTAATTGCATTATTTATGTCACACAATGGTAGTGCAACTGTTTATCAAATATATCAGTCCTTAACATTGCCTGCACCTATGGTACCCAAAATTATCTATAGGTGACCCTTTAAAATCCTTTACAGTGTACCAGTTTAGAGTTAACAGTAATTGATGTCCATATCATTATCCTAATAATGCATAATATGTGTTGCACAATTACAATTTCTGTATGCACACCCTACACACACATCTGTGTCTCGTGCACGCGGTTGTAAACATATTTTTGTGTGTTTCTTATTTATTGTATTATTCTAATTGTTCAGCCCTTTTTTTTTAACTTAAGTGTTAGCTCATCTTTACCAGAAACCTGCCTATGCAGATACGGGATGTCTGTGGATAATAACAAACTGTTTGTCTCTGACTAAAGCTGAATAATACCCTTGCTATAGGTGTAGGTACCTCATGAAGCCTGAGTGGAATACTCCTAGGATGTTTCTAGGACGTTGCTAAGTGAGGCCTAGTCATCACTGCTCACCTCCACCATCACAGGAGTGAGCTTTTTTTTCTTAATTAAAGCCCCTCACATGCTCTTTCTTTTTCCCCTGATGCCGTAGCTCTGAGCTCAGTGTCTGAGAGCTCACTACTGTGATGGTGGAGGTGAGCACAGTATGGTGACTAGGTCTCACATAGCAATGCCCTGGGGGTTTTCCAGTCAGCCTCCAGGAGGTATGTAAATGGCCTACACCTATAGCAATGGGCATTATTCAGCTTTAGTCAGAGCTGCACAGTATTTTTATCTACAGACACCCCTTATCTGCATAGGCAGATTTTTGGTAAAGGTAGACTTTACCATAATTACTATCACAAAGAGGCTGATAAAGTGATAGTCTATGTATATGTATATATATATATATATATATATATATATATATATATATATATATGCGGTAGTATAGTGCAGGTGATGGTTAATTTTTAAGGACATATCAAGAATGTATTGGATTCCTAATGACACCCTTGCTCACTAGCAGATTGAATGGAAACTGTGATTGATCTGCTGTGTGTGTCCATGACTATTTAGTACTGGGTGCTTCTGGCTTCATTTATCACAGAGGAGAATAGCAAATGGATACTCTCTGGTCTCCTGTTGCTCTCAATTCTGACACCTGCCATAGATGTCCCAGGCATCCAGGAAGGAGAGGAAAACCAGGGACATATTTTTCCCCCAACACCTAGAAGTGATCAGGCAGTTATACTACTGCCCAAATCCCCTCTACTGCATAGCTGGCAATTATGGAAAAACTTAAAGAAACAGGAGTTTTTTTTTACATGCCAGCCATTGTGATAGCAAAAGGGTTAAATGCATAGCAGTTCCCTATACAGAAAGTAGTATTTATTTTCAGTATATTAACCATGTCTATAAACGGCTGGACGGGAGCGCTGCCGAAGCAGGTTGACGTTTCTAAACGTCACCTGCATTCACACTGCCTGTGCACGCTCCCTGTGAGCATTTGGCACCGCGATCCGGTCGATGTACAGGACCTCTATGTGAGGTCCCAATTCATGTAATCACTGATTGGCCAATGAACAGTAGTAAACAAGATGTCACTTCCTGACATCATTGTATACTACTTGTGAAATCTCTGAATGATCACAGAGGTCACATGGTACAAGGCTATTCACAATCACAGCTCTCACAGTATTTCTCAGTGGCTGCAGATGCATCCAGAGTGAAATAAAAATGATTGCTTTTACAGCCTTTATGGATGTAAAAGCAATTAGTGTAAAAAAAAGAAAAATAAATCTTCATCACCCCCCACAAGTAGTACAGTGTCACTATGGTGACACTGTACTGCTAGGGTGACAGTATGTTGAAAAAACCAAAACAAATAATAATTTAAACTACTTGCCCTCCTGAGGATTTACCTCCCTTCCTGACCAGGCCTCTTTTTGCTACTCGGCGCTGCACTAATTCAACTGATAATTGGGCGGTCATGCAATGCTGCACCCAAATGAAATTTACGTCCTTTTTTTCACACAAATAGAGCTTTCTTTCGGTGGTATTTGATCACCTGTGCGCTTTTTATTTTTCATGCTATAAACAAAAAAAGACCGAAAATTTTGAAGAAAAACAAATATTTTTTACTTTCAGCTATAAAAAAATATATAGTAAACTCAAAGTTAGTTATAAAATTTAGGCCAAAATGTATTCTGCTACATGTTTTTGGTAAAAAAAAATCCCAATAAGTGTATATTTGATTGCTTTGTGTGAAAGTTATAGCATCTACAAACTATGGTATAAATACTGCAATTTACGCCATTTTTTTTGCTATACAGTGCTGCGCTAGTTTAACGGACAATTGCGCGGTCATGCAATACGGTACATAAATGAAATTTATGTCCTTTTTTTCACACAAATGGAGCTTTCTTTTGGTGGTATTTGATCATCTGTGCGCTTTTTATTTTTGGTGCTATAAACAAAGTTTTTTGAAGAAAAGAATTTACACAGCTTTTACTTTCTGACTGCCCATCACATTTCTTGAGGTGCAAAAATACCAGGATAGTACAAACACCCTCAAATGACCCCTTTTCAGAAAGTAGACACCCTAAGCTATCTGCTGAGAGGCATATTGAGTCCATGGAAGATTTATTTTTTTTCCACAAGTTTCTGGAAAATGACAAACACCTTTTTTTTTTCTTTTTTTTTATAAACAAAGTTGTCATTTAAATTATTTATTTCTCACACAAGCCATGGGTATATGTGGAATTACACCCCAAAATACATTCTGATACTTCTACCGAGTATGGGGATACCACATGTGTGAAACTTTTTGGGAGCCTAGCCACATACAGGAGCCTGAAATCCAATGACCACTTGGAAAGCCTGAAGGTGCGTAACTTCCTCATTACACTTCCTCACTACCTATCACAGTTTCGAAGGCCCTGAAATGCCAGGATAGCACAAACCCCCCCCCCCCCCAAATGACCCCTTTCTGGAAAGTAGACACCCGATGGAATTTAGAAAGAACCATGGTGAGTATTTTGCAGATCTAATTTTTTTTTCTCACAAGGTTTTGAAATATAAAAAAAGAATAGAAAAAATAGGTTTGTTTTTTTTTTCTTCATTTTCCAAAAACCTGTGGCAACAAATGAGATCTGCAAAA